AAGAGGAAGAAGTTGAGTCCTGAGTCAGAAAGAAATGGCAGGAATTTGCAGTGGCTGGAGCAGCTATGCAGCGCTCTCTGTGCCCACAGAGGTAGGCAGAAAAATTAGTTGGTGCACCTAGAAAAGCTCAAGAAGTGCCTGATTACTCCAGATGCCTCTTGGCAGGCTTCTCTCCCATCCTGCAGTGTCTGCTTGCACCAGGAGAGGTAGATGTGTCCCCTGAGCAGGGTTGTAACTGATCCTAGGCTCCTCTTCCTGCTGACTGCTTGTTAGTCCTGGCTTGGGGCTTCTGCCCAGACACTTGTAACCTCATATCTCCCTGACTCCTGGTTCTTGCTGCAGTTTGTGATGGGGGAGAAGGGCTCTTAGGGCTGAGCAGCAGAGCTTTGCCACGACTGTCTTCATTGCTCTATTCATTTCACTGCATCTGTGGCTCCTGTTATAGTCAGGGGAGAAGGGCAGCCCATCCCACCCTACACATTTCTGCTTGTTCAGATTCAAGCCCTCTGCCAGTTGTGAAGCCCTCCTGGGGTCTCCCTGCTTCCCTGCCATTCTGGGTGGGACTGTGCTAGGTTGTTCCCATTACACTGCTTTGCCCATGGAGCCCATCCCATCCTCATGTGCTCTTTCCTCTTCCCTTGCTGTGCTCCAAACTGGCAGCCAGCTCCCAGCTGAGGAGCAGTGAAAGCCGGTATGGCCGGACGTGACCTTAACCTGGGCTTTATTTAGCTTCTTGATTTATAGAGGAGTTTTATTTTAAGAGTGTTTCTCTTTTGGGAGGTGTGGCGAGCATGTAGTGGAGTGGTGGCAGTGAGCTGGAGTTCATAGATTCTCCTGTGCTATTAACAAAGAAGCATTTGAGTCCCAAGGCACCTTTTTGTTTGGGGAGATGCTCTCTGGCTTGCTTGGAAAGCGCTCCTGTTAATGTTTGTGCTGGGTGGCTGAAAAGGAGCAAGTGTCCAGGACCCTTCCCGTGAGGGGGATGAGGCAATACTGTTGGAGGCTGGGAAGCCTGAAACTTGCAGCCCTGGAGGAGGCCGCTTCCTCCAGGAAACTCCTCTGCTGGGCTCTGCCAGCTGTGGAAGTGTGCCAGGGCAGGAGTGCCCTCTCCTTGGATCCTTGCTGGGTTCAGCTTGTTCTCCTCCTCTCCAGGCACTGTCTGCTCAACCTGGGTCACAGGGTTTTTTTCTTATGCCTGCTGGGGTTTGTATCGCCTGCTTGAGATGAAGGATGTGGTTTGTAGGTAGGATGGGCTCTAAATTTCAGGTTTGCAGCCTCTGGAGCACAGGTTGCTATCCCCTTCTTTTGCTGTCTCAAGCTGGTTTGTATGGGTTCCCTATACCTCCAGACCACGGCTCTTCCATGCTTGTGGCAGCAGACACTGCCTGCAGGCTAGATGTGTGAGTCTGGCCATCTGCACTCCAGCACTAAACAGGACCACAATGCCTCTTGCAGCCCTTGTTGAGGGCCACTCTGCAATCTGAGAAGTTAATACAAATATGCAGCCCCATCCCTAGTATTGTAAATTGGTTTAATGAGCCCATGATTGGAGGCAAACCTGCTGCTGTTGCAGGCTCCAAGCTCTGCCTTGTGTGACCCTCCATGTTTCAAGGTGGCTTCTGAGCCCCTGAGGCTCAGCCATGCTTCACCCTCCACCCAGGCAGGACCCATCCCTGGGAGGCCACTGTGGGTGGGTGGGTAGGAGCACTGAAAAGCACTGTTGTCTCCATGTTCATCTGTGGCACACGGAGGCTGTGTCCATCCTTTTTCTGTATCTGCCCAAAGATGCTATGATCACATGCAGCATGATGGGATGTGTGAATTTGCTCCCATGTTGGGGGCTTTTCATGTGAAATTAGCAGAGAATGGTGAAAATGTCTCCTCTTGCTACCGAAAAGTAGGGTTTGAAGCCTTCTTTGTCCCTTCAAAGCCTACACAGCTATCATGGCTTCATGGTATAGTCTAGCCAGAGCGAGATAAAGCCTCTGTGGTAAAGAGTGCGCTGTTAAGACTAAACTGTGCAATGGCTACAGGCTATGGTTATTCTGGGTTTTACTAAAGGAAGGATAATATATGACTTGGTTTATTTTAACCATATAAAGGATTTTTGATTCGGTGCCAATGTTAATAATTATCTTGTGAAGGCTTTGCTAAGGCAGCAGGAATGGTGTGAGAACCTTAGAGTGATGTACTGACTCATGTGCAAATATTTTGACTTGTTTTATTTGAAATACTAAATGTAACAAATTTCATTTAGGAGGGACTGATATCTGAAATAATTTTGCTCAAGCACGGTACAGGGGCAGAAGATGACACAGAACCAACCCCAGCTGGTTTTGACTGATATTTTCAGACTGTGGAGGATCAGAGGGAAATTATTGTCAGATACTACCAGCAGTAATGCTACCGTGACAGAGCCCAAGCACTTGGCTGGGATCTCTGGGGTGGCTGGTGCTGGCTGGGAGAGCACCTGTGTCAAGGCCAGTTTTATCTGACAAGGCACAGACGCTTGCTGGGACAGGTTGCTGTCAGCAGAGGTTACTGGAGGTGCACTTGCCTTCAGTGGGCTGTTCTTGGCCTCTCTCTGTTATTTCACAAGAGCGTGGGAGAGAAACAATGTGTAATGTTCAGTGTTATATCAATGTTTAGCAATATTAATACGTCCAGTTGTAAGATTCTTCATTGGCTTGGTACCAATTTCCCTATCCCAGAGCCCCCTCCATGCCTTTCTTTTAGCAGGTCCAGAATACTATGTAAAGGGAGCATTTCTTATTTAGGCTGTCTTCTTGGGTCTGTACAACTCATCCCACAGTTTCTATCAGTCCACTTTCTCTTCTTATCTTTCCTGAACTCTGCTGGGTTCTCCCCTTGTACCCTGTGTGGGAATGGTCTTGACCAGAACTGTGCGGAGAGCAGTCAGCTCATGGCAGTTTTCTCTTGACCTCCACAATATCTAGTGGAAGATTTTATCTGAAGACCTGTTCCTGCAGAGAAGGAAGTGCCTGGGAACTTCCAGACTTTCCATTTCAATTAAGGGAACAAAAGTCGGGGTATGCTATCATTCTTTTCTGAGTGTAAAGAATCCGGTTTAAAATGGCCTTCTCCCATTTAGGATTGCGGTTAAATGCTTGGTCCTAGCATTCAACGCTTGGAAGTGTGCACATAGGCCTCCTGCTTTTTGAGTCCTTGGGTTAAGAATATGAAAAATAGCTCCTTAACCTCTGTTTATCTGGTTGTGTTGACCTTGAGGGGTATTCCAGGAGGCAGCTGGTCTCTCAGAAGAGTTACAAACACTTTAGGAGCCTGCTGCCATTTAGCCTTGCTTGTTGCTGACATTGGGAGAAACAGCAGAAGTAATGAAGCAGTGCTGTGCCACGGGCAGTGTGTGGGTTGCCTGTCACCCACGTTCTGCCAGCTCGGGGTAGACAGGGATTGTGGAACCCTTACCTGGGTGTTCTCATCTCTCCTGTGCAATCCTGCAGGCTGTCTTACAAGAAGGCTTTACAACAGAGCAGTGAGTTTATGTTGTGCTTAAAACACCCAAACCTCTAAAGGAGGAATTTAAAGACTGCTGAGCTGGAGATATGTGAAGGCTTGTGTGAAGAGCATCATCTCTGCTCTGGCTGCAGGTCAGTTCAGGCTTGCTCTGAGACTGTCATGTTTTCTCAAGCCAGCAGAGGTATCGGGAGTGATGAATATGTGCTCCATTGGACTGGAAGAATCAAAACGGTTTGCTTCCTCCTGATCCCTTCATCCTACCGTTCCCTGGTGGTGCTGTAAGCTGTTGTGGTGCTGCTTTGTTTAACTTCCTCTCCCAATCTTGCTGTGGGACTGAGGTATGTTTTCAGGCATGTCCATGCAGCTGTTCCTGTTCTGCGGAAGGCTGTCGGACTTCTGGGCCAGCGGCTGAAGTGCTTTTCTTGTCTCTAGTGAAGGGAGGTGGATTTAGATCAGATGAGGATCTGGCCAGACACCTGAGTAAACTTTCATTTGGTTTTGTAGCAAAACTCACTCCCACTGGCTGTAAGTTAGTCAGAGGGGTCCCCTCTAAAATAGAAGGAAAAGAGGGATCCTGATCCTCTCTCCAGATGTGTACAGATTTATTTTTAATTATTATTTTTTGGCAGCTCTCTTGATTTACACCCATATGATAGATCAGATTTTGGCTTCTAGCACTGGAATTGGTGCTGACACTGTGGGCAGGCTCTGGCTGGCAGGCTCTCCCGAATGAAGGTGGAAGTCGGGAAGCCATCGCCTCTGATCCCCACGCAGGAAATGGGCATCCTACATATTGATGCGCATGCTCAGGCACCAAAAGCCACCCGGTTCACACACAGTCTGTGGATCCTGTTGTGAGGCATCTTTTGCTGCAGAAAATTCCTGGCTCCTGGAGTGAACCTTTCCTGAGAGGCAAACAGCTTTGAATAATGAGGAATTGCACTGGTGAACAGCTTTCCCCAGTACCAAACAGCTCCAGCAGCTTATCCTGTGCAGGGACTTGAGAGCACAGCATGCTGAGGAGCTTCTAGCCAACTATTGTTCCTGCAACTCCCCTTACCCCACTGAGGAGCATAACACAGGGCTTTAATGTACCCAAGTGCTGGCCAGCATCTCCAGGCCTGGGTATCCGAAACATGGGGCTGCTGATCCGTCCACCCCATGATACTCTCACTCGCTCGCACGCACTCACGTGCTGCGGTAATGGTTTAATAGCAGCCCCACCCAGCGCAGTCAGGAGAAGGACTTGCTGCGTAAGCAAAAGCTGGGAAATCTCGCCGCTGTGCACAGCACTCTGCGAGCGCTCCACTTGCGTTTTGGGAGAGTTTTTTTGTGTTTACCTGGGATTGCTGGTGCCAAAAGAAGCTAGAAAGGAGAGCAGTTTGTCCCTTTGATCTTCTCTCCTCCTGCATTTGGAGATGGCTGTGCTCTTGGGTGTAGGGCTCATCAGGGCACCAGGGTGTATCGGGCTGTAGTACCGCTAACGCTTTCTCTCTTGGCAGGACTCGGAGTCGCTGGACGGTTGCATTCAGAGTACGTTATCAGCACTCTACCCTCCATTTGAGGCTACCGCAGCCACTGTTCTGTGCCAAGTTTTTGATGTGGTGGAGAAGACGTACCGTGGGGATGGACTGCGCTACCTCATAGACTTCCTGATTCCAGCCAAGCACATCCTGCAGTGCATTCAGCAGGATGCCTGTGTGAGTACATCATGCTCTCTAAGGCCTGCAAAGGCTTTCTTGGAGAGCTTTTCTCCTGTATGTAAAACGGCTGGCAAAAAGTGCTTGCATGTGTACGGCAGCCTAGGTGGGAGGGTAGGCAGACAATTAGGAAGCAGTTGAGAAATTGTGATTGAAACTTAACCATGCAGAGATCAGATGTGGAGTGGTGCCCTCGCCTTCCAATAACCAGGAACACTGAACTTAAGGGATTCAGAAGAGGTTTAGAGAAGTGTTTGCTGGATATGGCTGACTCGGGTTGCTTCTAACCCCACCCATTCGCTGGCCCTGTGGATGGAGCTGCTGGGCTCCCACCGCTGGCAGCAGGACGTGCGGGGCGAAATGCTGCCAGTCAGTGTTTTTCCCAGAACTCCAGCTCCCCTTTGATGGTTGCTGGAACGGTCGCAAGGCTCAGTAGCCCCAAGGAGTCACATTACATTTACTGCCAGAACGAGTCCAAGATTAACGTGCTTTACTGTTGGGAGCCTAAAATGTTAGAAATGATGAGTCAAATGCCTCCATCACAAACTTGGCTCAAAGGCTGCAAGATGAAAAAAACCCAACCCCAACAACCTAAAACTAGGGTTTGTGCTAGCCTTTTTGTCTCTGAACCTAGAGCGTGCGTGTGGCCGGGCTTTTGATAGAAGCCCTCATGGTGGAGGGCAAGGGACTTCTGGGAGGAGGAAAAATATTAAATAGAAGCTGAAATAGTTACTTGTTTGCCTCAAGGAGGTGAAATGCTGAGGGGAAAGACTTATCACTTATGATGGATCCAAGTAACAACCCCTGGGAGCTGGTCACCTTGCAAGTGCTTTGGTGCAGTCTTTGTCCCGCTGTGTTCTCTCCAGTCTCCAGCTTTTGGTGCCAGCTTTATAAACCTGGGAAGATCCAAGGTTGTGCATAAGGACTTTGGGGAGCTGTGCTCTCACCCTGAACACTCGACTAGGAATTATTCCATTGGTGTATGTAGCTCAAGTTTCTAATTCGATGGTGCATAGCATGTTTTTCCCCTTTAAAGAAACAAAAGGCTTTTAGCTTGTACAAACTGGTAATTATTGCAAGACGTTTCACGGCTTTCCCCAAACCGCCTTCCTCCCTGAAGGAGGCAAGGTAGCAATTTCCCCACGCCCTGAGATCTCAGCAGCTTCCAAGCGCCTGGCGGTGCCCTGGGCAGGTGAGGCGGCGGAGGGGAGGGAAGGAGCCTGTCTCTGAGTGGAGCCCACTGCTCCGTGCGGCCTCTGCCCCCCCATGCCTTGGGGGAGCTGGGCCTGTAGTGCTGCTCTCCCAAAGGGGAGGGGTTCAGGGCAGTGGCCGGGCGACCAGCAGGAAGGGTGCAGCGAGGGGCTCTGCTGGGCAGTGAGGGCGCTGGCTCTCCCTGGGCGGCCGGGCAGGGGCTGGTGGGGCCACACACGCACCACAGGCCATGGCTGCCCTCGGGCCCGGGCCCCTGTGGGACAGGGGTGTGGGGGCAGGGAGGGCCTTGTGCTGCTTAGCAGCCAATGAAAGGACAGGTGAGGCTGCGGCAGCCAATAGGAGTGTGGGGCTGCTTTGATGGGCAGAGTGGCTTTGGCTGAGCTGCGGGCTGTCGCAGCAGGAGGTGCTGAGGTGTGGGGGGGCGCGGGGGCC